ATCTGTGGTTCTCTCACCTTGTGGAGTATCAGGTTACTGTTGAATAATCACTATTTTGGAATGCAGGGACAGTTAGAAAAGATGGCTACTGATAATTTATATTTACAACGAAATATTGTTTTGGTTTATTAAATTTTTAGCAAATGTTTTCAAAGAATTTATATTATATAGGTTATGTTGTTTTTCTTATGTTATGGCGTAACGGTGCACTTTGTGGGAATAACTGTATGTGACAATGAAACTTTGCATATTTCTATGCACAGATTCTATTGAAGCATCAAAACATGTCAGGACAATTTTCCTGTCCAAAAGGGCTACTTTCTTCTTTGGTGTTTAAATATTTTTATAATAATGGCTGAGTCCCGAATGGCACCCTATTCCTTACATGGGTCCTATAGGCCCTGGTCAAAAGTAGTGCACTATATAGGAAGTAGGGTGCTGTTTGGGACACACCCACTGTTTCATGGTCATAGGGACTATAAGGACAATGTTGACCTAACCAAAGCATGTAACTTTCTTGTACACTTTGGTCACGTTATGTGCATTGGGAACATTTGCATGAAAATGGGATGAGTTTTGCATAATAATGCATTATTAGGAATAAAAGAGGAGCTTTTCTTTTTTAATGTAACATTTATGATTGCTAAACAACCTCCAGAATTATGCAAGCCTATGTCGAACTTCTAAACAGCCAAATATGAGCCCCCATGTCGAGACAAATACGACAAATAACACATCACACGCTGTATAATACTCCTGTTGTGTATTTTACTACCAGAGTTGTTGTATAATGGGATATTGACAGTTAAGACATTGCATTTTAACTATTGTGATGAGATAACAAAAAACATTGAGTCAACTTTTCCAAAAAAAGAAATGGGCTAGATAAGCTACATGGCATTTTATTAAAACAATCATTTCTAAAAACCTTTCAGAACATCTTAATCTTACAACAGTAGAAATATAATTACTATTAAGTAATCTAGTTACTATTACTATCTAGCAATTTCATTTCTATGATTACAACATACAAAAGCACCCAGGGTAAACATTTTGCTGAGCATCTTTTTCAGGCAAAGGCAGGATGGTTGAGCTTTCTCAGTGTGCAGCACAAAGATCCAACATCAAATATTCCTTATGCTGTTTAAAACCAAAGGCACAAACACAAGGCTGAACTGGACTACTCTAGCACTTAGGAATGGTACTACTGTAGTCTGCTACATTTAAAACACAAACAGAAGCTACATTCTAAGAACACCACTAGCATACTATCTAGAATGCGTTCCAAATATATTGCTCCATCTTAAGTAGAATGCTAGTGTGGACATCAAAAGCGTGCAAGCCTTCATACAGAGTAATGAATAAATGATCAAACACAAATAAAAACAAGTTTGATGATAATGTACAGTGCATTTGGATAGTGTTCAGACCCCTTGACTGTTTCCACATTTTGTTACGTTACAGCCTTATTCTAAAATAGATTACATTTGTTTTTGTCCTCATCAATCTACACACAATACCCCATAATGACAAAGCAAAAACAGGTTTTCAGAAATGTTGGCAGATTTGGTAAAAATAAAAAACGGAAATATCACATTTACATACAGTTGAAGTCGGAAGTTTACATACACTTAGGTTGGAGTCTTTAAAACTCGTTTTTCAACCACTCCACAAATTTCTTGTTAACAAACTATAGTATTGGCAAGTCGGTTAGGACATCTACTTTGTGCATGACACAAGTAATATTTCCAACAATTGTTTACAGACAGTTTATTTCATTTATAATTCACTGTATCACAATTCCAGTGGGTCAGAAGTTTACATACACTAAATTCACTGTGCCTTTAAACAGCTTGGGAAATTCCAGAAGCTTCTGTTAGGCTAATTGACATCATTTGAGTAAATTGGAGGTGTACCTGTGGATTTATTTCAAGGCCTACCTTCAAACTCAGTGCCTCTTTGCTTGACATCATGGGAAAATCTAAAGAAATAAGCCAAGACCTCAGAAAAAAAATTGTCGACCTCCACAAGTCTGGTTCATCCTTGGGAGCAATTTCCAAATGCCTGAAGGTACCACGTTCATCTGTACAAACAATAGTACGCAAGTATAAACACCATGGGACCATGCAGCCGTCATACCGCTCAGGAAGGAGACGCGTTCTGTCTCCTAGAGATTAACGTACTTTGGTGCGAAAAGTGCAAATCAATCCCAGAACAACAGCAAAGGACCTTGTGAAGATGCTGGAGGAAACCGGTACAAAAGTATCTATATCCACAGTAGAAATGAGTCCTATATCGACATAACCTGAAAGGCCGCTCAGCAAGGAAGAAACCACTGCTCCAAAACCGCCATAAAAAAGCCAGACTACGGTTTGCAACTTCACATGGGGACAAAGATCATACTTTTTGGAGAAATGTTCTCTGGTCTGATTAAACAAAAATGGAACTGTTTGGCCATAATGACCATCGTTATGTTTGGAGGAAAAAGGGGGATGCTTGCAAGCCGATGAACACCATCCCAACTGTGAAGCACGGGGGTGGCAGCATAATGCTGTGGGGGTGCTTTGCTGCAGGAGGGACTGGTGCACTTCACAAAATAGATGGCATCATGAGGAAGGAAAATTATGTGGCTATATTGAAGCAACATCTCAAGACATCAGTCAGGAAGTTAAAGCTTGGTCGCAAATGGGTCTTCCAAATGGACAATGACCCCAAGCATACTTCCAAAGTTGTGGTAAAATAGCTTAAGGACAACAAAGTCAAGGTATTGGAGTGGCCATAACAAAGCCCTGACCTCAATCCTATAGAAAATGTGTGGGCAGAACTGAAAAAGCGTGTGCGAGTAAGGAGGCATACACACCTGACTCAGTTACACCAGCTCTGTCAGGAGGAATGGGCCAAAATTCACCCAACTTATTGTGGGAAGCTTGTGGAAGGCTGCCCGAAACGTTTGACCCAAGTTAAACAATTTAAAGGCAATGCTACCAAATTCTAATTGAGTGTATGTAAACTTCTGACCCACTGGGAATGTGATGAAAGAAATAAAAGCTTAAATAAATCATTCACTCTACTATTATTCTGACATTTCACATTCTTAAAATAAAGTGGTCATCCTAACTGACCTAAGACAGGGAATTTTTACTAGGATTAAATGTCAGGAATTGTGGGAAAACTGAGTTTAAATGTATTTGACTAAGGTGTATGTAAACTCCCGACTTCAACTGTAAGTATTCAGACCCTTTACTCAGTACTTTGTTGAAGCACCTTTGGCAGCTATTACAGGCTTGAGTCTTCTTGGGTATGATGCTACAAGCTTGGCACACCTGTATTTGAGGAGTTTCTCCAATTCTTCTCTGCAGATCCTCTCAAGCTCTGTCAGGTTGGATGGGGAGCATCGCTGCACAGCTATTTTCAGGTCTCTCCAGAGATATTAGATTGGGTTCAAGTCCGGGCTCTGACTGGGCCACTCAAGGACATTCAGAGACTTGTCCCGAAGCCTCTCCTGCGTTGTCTTGGCTGTGTGCTTAGGGTCATTGTCCTGTTGGAAGGTGAACCTTCGCCCCAGTCTGAGGTCCTGAGCGCTCTGGAGCAGGTTTTCATCAAGGATCTCTCTGTACTTTGCTCCATTCATCTTTCCCTTGTTCATCTTTCCCTTGATACTGACTAGTCTCCCAGTCCGTGCCAGGTTTCCTCCAGACGTGACACTTGGCATTCAGGCCAAAGTGTTCAATCTTGGTTTCATCTGACCAGAGAATTTTGTTTCTCATGGCCTGAGAGTCCTTTATGTGCCTTTTGGCAAACTCCAAGTGGGCTGTGATGTGCCTTTTACTGAGGAGTGCCTTGTGTCTGGCCACTCTACCATAAAGGCCTGATTGGTGGAGTGCTGCAGAGATGGTTGTCTTTCTGGAAGGTTTCCCATCTCCACAGAGGAACTCTGGAGCTCTGTCAGAGTGACCATCGGGTTCTTGGTCACCTCCCTGACCAAGTCCCTTCTTCCCCAATTGCTCAGTTTGGCTGGGTGGCCAGCTCTAGGAAGAGTCTTGGTGGTGCCAAACTAAGGTATTTCTGTTAGTTTTTTTATACATTTGCAAAAACTTCTAAAAACCTGTTTTCTCTTCGTCAATATGAGGGATTGTGTGTAGATTGATGAGTAAAAAAATTATTGAATCCATTTTAGAATAAGGCTGTAACGTAACAATGTGGAAAAAGGGAAGGGGTCTGAATACTTTCCGAATGCACTGTATATTACATATTACAATAATAAAAACAAACACTTCTTGTAATAGTCAATGCACCTGCTGAGAATGACTGTGTTGAGAGATATTTCATAATGGGACAGAGTATATTGCAGGCCTGTATGAAAAGCCCTCTCCCTTTTGGAGTGCAATAGTGAATTGCCTGGTAATTCACCATAGCGTATACAGTAACTCACAACTAATGTGAAGTTGCACTTGGCTTGAACATTAAACACCATTGGAGACGGTCATGTCTACAGAAAACGCCATTGTAAAAGTATTGGTGGTGCTCTAGTCCCTTTTCCTATTATACATACATAGCTATCCCCTGAGTATGCCAAGAGTAGGACCTTAGCACCGCAACAAGTTTAATTGACTACCTTCAATTACAATGGAAATGTTAATTTAAATAGATAGTGTTTCTTACAGGGAGGTGAGTGTTGCCCATGATGCTGCATCTTGGCTGTAATAAGAGAAGTGTGTGTGTGTGTGATACGAGTACATGCACCCAAAGACATGGTCCGTTAATATAAGGGGGATCCAATAACCAATTATAGTGTATTTGTGAGGCCCACTCATAAACTCATAAACAATTGTGGAATGTTGGGAGGGGGTGAGAGACATCACTCAAAAATAAACTACTGCATGATACGGTCCTGTTAGGGTGGGGTGGGTGTCGTTGGGGGGGGGGGGGGGGGCATGTCTGTAAACCTCACAACAATTTCTGTAAATCTCATTATAATCTGGCAGCATGATTTATTTAGCTCACACGTACTCCTTGGTGCTGCCGGAGGGTGAGCGGGCACTCACGCCACTCATGACAGGGTATTTGAGCACCGGCTTTTTACTCCTGGGGCAGGAAGATGCCAGCATGGCTCCCCCCAGCACGTCCAGGAAAGAACCCCCCCAGGCGATGAAGATGGCTGCCCCAAACTCAAACCTGTTATTGGGAGATGGAGAGAAGAGTGAGACGTTGTTCTAGAACAGCGTTCTTACATTCTTCTCCTGGAAAGCCATGTGGTGTGCAAATTTTTGCTCCAGCCTAGCATTAATTTAAGTCACTAATCAAAGACTTAAGTCCCCTGTAGCTCAGTTGGTAGAGCATGGCGCTTGCAATGCCAGGGTTGTGGGTTCGTTTCCCACGGGGGGCCAGTATGAAAATGTATGCACTCACTAACTGTATGTCGCTCTGGATAAGAGCGTCAACTAAAATGTAAAAAAAAGATGGCGCCGATAGACACGACACCCTGTTTCTAACTCCTAGCCAACTTTGTTTGCTAGGTATTACTGCACATAGAAATGGTAGTTATAGACCCGTAATTCTCATTGAATAGAAGTCTAAGAAGCGGTAGATCTGTTCTATGTGCGCTATTTCTATACTTCCCGTTCTTAAGTTTTGTTTTTGTGTCTTTTACTTTCATTTTTTTACACCAGCTTCAAACAGCTGAAAATACAATATTTTGGTACAACGATTCTCTACACCAGGGTTAGGCAACCCTGTTCCCGGAGTGCCGCAGGTACTGAAGGATTTTGTACAAACTAGGCACCACACCTGCCCAACTGAGTAAATTGATCAGCTCAGTGATTGCCTAAATTCAACACACCTCGTCTTCCAGGTTGGTTAAATAAAAAAACATGAAGTGCCTGCGGCACTCTAGGAGCAGGGTTGCCTACCCCTGCTCTACACTGCGTTGCTTGTTTTGTCACATAAACTGAATTTTAGAAAACAGGAAATAGTGGCACGATTTCTGTAAATTGCACCTTTAAAATAAGACCACTCAATAGAATGGAAAAGGCCAATAAATTCAGGCTCTTTGTAGGGATACTTACTTGGTGTTGACAGGAGTATATGGGTTATAGAAGGCCCGGATGAGATTGTGAGCGAACCACGAGCAGGCCACTAACGCACACAGAGCTGAAGGAGAAGAACAAACCGATACAGACAGATCAGTACATCGAGACATCATCAAGAGGTATTTGAGAGAGGGGAGCCAAACACTTCTCAAGAAGTCAATTGGAGGCTAGCTATTGAGTCCCAGTCATTAGCTTTTTACTGCCATTGTCCTATAAGAGTGTCCAAATGAGCTAAGATCTGGTCCCCCATGTCCATTAATTATAATCTAAAAGAAAAAACTGATCCTAGATCAGCACTTCTACTCTGAGACCCTTTGTGAATAACAGGCCCTAATCATTAGCTTTTTACTGCCATTGTCCGATGAGAGGTTCTAATTACCTCTTATATAACAGTAATAAGCTGCATCCAAAATGGCACCCTATTCCCTATATAGTGCACTACTTTTGACCAGATCCCTATAGGCCCTAGTCAAAAGTAATGCACTAAGGGAATAGTGTCAAAGTAGTAGCCACAGAGTCAGTAAAACTGGCCCATTCTCTCCCTACGTGACCTCCAAGGGAACCTGGGTAGATGAGTGGGACTTTTATTGTGCAATGTTTCGACCCAAAGCTCTTCGCCAGGCTTAGATGAGTGGGAGAGCAGCTGGTGGCCAGACAGAGGGTCAAACTCCTCCTACATGCAGTAGTCTCTAAGATCTCAGACACTGGACCAGAATGACCAGGTGACCTCTAACACAGATCTTTTCATGTAATGTTACATAAGTAGTGCCTATACCTAAAGAAAGATACAGTTATAGATACAAAGATTCTCTCTCTCACTCTCACTCTCACTCTCACCTCCAACCAGTAGGATGATGCCTCCAGTCATGGCGGTGCGAGACTTGCGCACTTTGTTGTTCCCTCCACAGGTGGTACACTTCATGCCCATGGTGGCCACGCCCAGCCCAGCAATGGATACGATGATGCCAACAATCATCAGGGCACGGGTGGCCTGGAGAGTGTCTGAGACACACACATACACACACCAGGGAGGGGAGAGAGAGCAGGAAAGGGAGAGGAGGGAAAGGAGTAGCAAGATAGTGAGAGAAAGAGGGAGGGAGGGAGGGAGGGAGGGAGGGGTGTGGTACAGTTATAGATATATTTAATTTATAGACATGGGGGATATATTGTAAAATAAAAGATCAGCAAGTCTCTCTCTCCCCTCTCTCTTTATCTCTCTCTGTCTCTCTCTCTCCCCCTACTATCTCTCACTCTCTCTTCCATCTGCTGTTGTTTAGGGGAGGGGGTAGTGAAAGCTACTGTCAGGACCCTCTAATCTGGCACCCCATCTCATAAAACTGACAGAGGGAGGGAGAAGCAGAGGCCACCCAAAACCAGTCTGTGCCAGTCCAGGCCATTCCTGAGCTCACAAACAAAACCCTCCAGCCCTGAGAAAGGGAGGGAGGGATGGAGGGAAGGAGAGAGAGGGAGAGGAGGGGGGCGATTGAGGGCGGGGAGGAGAGGGAGGAGAAGGGATAGGAGGAGAGGTAGGGGAGAGGGTGATGTAGGGATGTACAGTCGTGGTCAAAAGTTTTGAGAATGACACAAGTATTGGTCTTCACAAAGTTCGCTGCTTCAGTGTTATGAGATATTTTTGTTAGATGTTACTATGGTATACTGAAGTATAATTACAAGTATTCCATAAGTGTCAAAGGCTTTTATTGACAATTACATTAAGTTTATGCAAAGAGTCAATATTTGCAGTGTTGACCCTTCTTTTTCAAGACCTCTGTAATCCGCCCTGGTATGCTGTCAATTAACTTCTGGGCCACATCCTGACTGATGGCAGCCCATTCTTGCATAATCAATGCTTGGAGTTTGTCAGAATTTGTGGGGTTTTGTTTGTCCACCCGCCTCTTGAGGATTGACCACAAGTTCTCAATGGGATTAAGGTCTGTGGAGTTTCCTGGCCATGGACCCAACATTTAGATGTTTTGTTCCCCGAGCCACTTATGCTACTTATGGCAAGGTGCTCCATCATGCTGGAAAAGGCATTGGTCGTCACCAAAACTGTTCTTGGATGGTTGGGAGAAGTTGCTCTCAGAGGATGTGTTGGTACCATCTTTATTCATGACTGTGTTCTTAGGCAAAATTGTGAGTGAGCCCACTCCCTTGGCTGAGAAGCAACCCCACACATGAATGGTCTCAGGATGCTTTACTGTTGGCATGACACAGGACTGATGGTAGCGCTCACCTTGTCTTCTCCGGACAAGGTGTTTTCCGGATGCCCCAAACAATCGGAAAGGGGATTCATCAGAGAAAATGACTTTAACCCAGTCCTCAGCAGTCCAATCCCTGTACCTTTTGCAGAATATCAGTCTGTCCCTGATGTTTTTCCTGGAGAGGTGGCTTCTTTGCTGCTCTTCTTGACACCAGGCCATCCTCCAAAAGTATTTGCCTCACTGTGCGTGCAGATGCACTCACACCTGCCTGCTGCCATTCCTGAGCAAGCTCTGCACTGGTGGTGCCCCGATCCTGCAGCTGAATCAACGTTAGGAGACGGTCCTGGCGCTTGCTGGACTTTCTTGGGCGCCCTGAAGCCTTCTTCACAACAATTGAAGTTGAAGTTCTTGATGATCCGATAAATGGTTGATTTAGGTGCAATCTTACTAGCAGCAATATCCTTGCCTGTGAAGCCCTTTTTGTGCAAAGCAATGATGACGGCACGTGTTTCCTTGCAGGTAACCATGGTTCAAGCACCACCCTCCTTTTAAAGCTTCCAGTCTGTTATTCTAACTCAATCAGCATGACAGAGCCTTGTCCTCGTCAACACTCTCACCTGTGTTAACGAGAGAATCACTGACATGATAGCAGCTGGTCCTTTTGTGGCAGGGCTGAAATGCAGTGGAAATGTTTTTTGGGGATTAAGTTCATTTTCATGGCAAAGAGGGACTTTGCAATTCATCTGATCACTCTTCATGACATTCTGGAATATATACAAATTGCCATCTTCAAAACTGAGGCAGCAGACTTTTTGAAAATTAGTATTTGTGTCATTCTCACAACTTTTGACCACGACTGTAGGAGGAGAGAGGAAGGAGGGAAGAAATACTCCTCTTCTGCTGTATTCTAAACACAATGAGGGCATGCCAGTCATGCAAATTGGGACTACCATGGAATATCACCCCTGCACCCCACGGTCCCACCCTAACCCCCCTGTACCCCACGGAACCACCCTGACCCCCCTGTACCCCACAGTACCACCCTGTACCCCACGGTACCACCCTGGCCCCCTGTACCCCACGGTACCACCCTGGCCCCCTGTACCCCACGGTACCACCCTGACCCCCCTGTACCCCACGGTGCCACCCTGACCCCTCTGTACCCCACGGTACCACCCTGTACCCCACGGTACCACCCTGGCCCCCTGTACCCCACGGTACCACCCTGGCCCCCTGTACCCCACGGTACCACCCTGACCCCCCTGTACCCCACGGTGCCACCCTGACCCCCCTGTACCATTCCAACTGTCAGCAGTTACAACCAGTTAAAACTGGAACTCTTAAGTGTTCTAAGTGTCATAAATCTGAACAAGCATCTCTGTTCAATGAAACCCCTCTCACCAACCAGAATGACATGAGAAACCAAGAAGAGTAGATGGGGAGTTATATCAAATTACACCCAGGTTCTCTTCATCATGGTTCCCTAAGGTTCTAGGGCGAACCAAGGTGGGAGGAAGAGGGAGGGGAAGGGCGTAAAATTCCTGCACAGGTTACTGTGTTGCTGTCGCAATGGCTACTCCTGTGTTCTGTCCTCTTTTGGTTGTTTACCATTAGTTAGTTAGTTAGTTAGTAAGAACCAGGACGTCTCTGGCATCTGGAGCCCCAGCCAGCCCCCTCACTGTCCCACCTTTCTATGCCAGGGTATAGTGGGTGATGAATTGGCAGGGGGCATGCCAGTAGGGGCCTTACCACCTAGGGGGTGGACCGGCCCAGCCGTTTGAGAATATACAGCAGAGAGGGCAGGGGGGAAATGGGTTGGGAGGTTGCCAGGAACAGTAACAGGAATACGAACTCCAGGAGGTGTACAGGGGGTTCTGATAAGAGTAAATGTCAGATACGTTTCTAAATGATTTTTCAAGAGTAGTATCCAGAGTTATTGAAGTGTCAGTGAGTGTGGCACCTGGAAAGGAGTTAACAGTATTCCACTGTATAATAATACAAAAGGTGCTACTAAATGATAACCATGAGAGGGGCAATTAAATGACTAACAGCCCCGAGGGGACACCTTTATCAGTGAAATCAATGTGCTCCATTAAACAAGAACTGCTCCATAGGAAAAGGGGTGGGGACCTCAGCTGACCGTCTCAGATGTCTGCTCACCTGCATCTCCCGTCAATCAATCCCATTTACTGGTACAACATTAGACTTTCCCGACACAAGTCACCATATTCATGACATTCCTACTTTGATAATAAGATAGCCTATAGGGCTATATGCATGCGTAATTCACGGTGCGTGAGTGCGCACAGGACGCGCAAACCGTAATCGAAATATAACGGTCAAATAAATATTTAGCTTATTTATACTCACTGTCTAGCTGCAGGATTGAGTCATATATTTTACATTGGAGCTGCCCTGTGCTCTGAAAAGCGCATGACATCCATAGTCCTTGGTACATGGCAACCGCCGTTATGATGTTGTCTCCTATGTACGCAGACATCTTCCACTGTGGAAGAATGGTCCCCACGATAAGTGCAATGACACCGACGAGTGACAGGAAGAATCCTAAAAGTTGAATTCCCGAGTTTGCCATCTTGAAAAAAAATAGATTGTCAATTATTTTTTTAATGAGTAAGTAAATAAGTTTCTTTTGGCGAAAATACTAAGACTCCTTTTTTGTGTGTGTGTCCAAAGGCACACAACAGTTCTCTTATTGCAGTCTATCTTTGCAAGGTTGACCTATCTTCATTTTATGCGGCAGAATAGCATCAGTAAACACAATCTCTGAGCTGTGAAAAAGTTGTTCTTGATCTCCTTTCCAGCTGTTATAGTTTGAGCCGCACCTTGAATACTGTAGTGCTGAGTGTGCGGGAAGGGGGATTTTAATTCTGCACGAGGGCGCGCGAGGGGGTGTGTGTGTCCCGTCACGGTGCCCGGTGATGCGTGAGAGGTATCTTCTCGCATCCCCTCCTCCTGGGGCCCTTACCGTTATGTCACGCCTATTGGCCAGGCTACTTCTTCATTCCAGGGAAGCTATAGTTGTTTCTCGAGCAAGTTGGTACTGTAAAAACAACGGTACAGTTCCTACCGGGCTGACGGTAACTATTTGTTCAGTTTCAGAATGCCAGCGTTGCTTAGCTGACAGGTGTTGCTGTTTCTCAGGCCGTATCCATTGAGAAAATCACCCCCCACATTATTGAAAAGATTAAACTGTTTGTACATTTGCCCCTGGAACTGCCTGTAGACACATCAGGTTCATCTTTTACATTCAACAGTTTGCCAAATGACAATAATTAACTTTTTCTTAGAATTTGTTTTCCAGTGAGGGATGCCTCTCCTTGTAGTCATATATACTGTATGTTTTACATTTCTGTATTTTTATACAGAGAGACAAATTGATCCGTCTTGTTAATAACAATATAAAGGCTTATGCATGCTTATAACATTATACCTGGATGCTTTAAGTGTTTTAAGTGATACCAAAATATCCACCAATCAGATTGCATTGTGCAGGTCCACAGTTCAGCAAGTCAGTAGGTTAAACTTATTTGTGAAGTAATTGAAAAACAGGTTATACCTCAATAGAATATCTCATTAACAATCTTGAATAAAATCCTTGGGGGAATAATATTATTTGTCTTGACTAAGAGCTAGAGTTGTATGTGTGCGTGCGTTCACATGTATGTTGGAGCCTGACTGCAGCAGTGCCACTGACCTACATCTGTACAGGAAGGTAGGCTGTAGATCAGCCATGGACCATAACTCACTCTCCGTTTCTCTCCTCACAATAGACTGTTAGCCTCGTAAATACCTAACTGGCGTGGTAGAGAACCATTCATGTAAGCTCGTGAGATCAAGCGGCTTGCGAGGATAATAGACTGTACACCAACCATCTCAATCCCTCACGCCACCAATCACTGCATATTGACGCCAACTGCCACTGATGTACATTGTCCTTACTCAGCTTTAAAGCTGCAATCTGCAGTTCAAACAATAACGAAGCAACACCCCGCCATTGTTTTGGAGGGATGGGGCTGGAGAAATGAAACCACTCTCAAATTCATAGACAGAGCTCTCTTACCCTACTCGTCCAAATATAATGACCCACCTACAGTATTTAATCTGTCACACTGGCTGGATCAATTAATCATCCAATGAGCACTTCAGCTCACTTGCTGGTTGTGATTGTGCAGAAATCAGAAGGCAATGGGTGCCTTTGTCCCAAGAGCAACATGACTGGCGCCACAGTGTGTGTGATACAGGATTCTGGCGCCGACGAAGATGGCGCCCTCGCGACTAACTCTTAGTAAACTTTGCGCTATTTTGTTTTTTTATGTATTATTTTTTACATTATTAGCTCAGAAAGTGTTTTGTATCATTACATACAGCCGGGAAAAACTATTGGATATCAGAGCAGCGGTAACTCACCAGCATTATGACCAGGAATACGACTTTCCCGAAGCAGATCCTTTGTTTGCTCTCCCCAGGGCAATTGAACTGATTCCAGCGGTAGATCCAAAACATTGCCGGCGGAGGAGAGGCACTCGGAGCGGCCTGCTGATTCGACTTAGGAGGCACGTACACCACCCACCGCTTCCAAGTAATATTACTCGCTAATGTTCAGTCTTTGGATAACAAAGTCGACGAGCTCAGGGCAAGGATTTCTTTCCAAAGACACATCAGGGCCTGTAACATACTTTGTTTCACAGAAACATGGCTCTCTCGGGATATTCTGTAGAAATCGGTCCAGCCAGATGGGTTCTCAGTTCATCGCACAGACAGAAATAAATATCTCTCCGGGAAGCAGAAGGGCGGAGGTGTGTGTTTCATAATTAACGACTCATGGTGTAATTGTAGTAACATACAGGAACTCAAGTCCTTTTGTTCACCTGACCTAGAATACCTCACAATCAAATGCCGACCGTATTATCTCCCAAGATAATTTTCTTCAGTTATAGTCATGGCTGTGTATATCCCCCCTCAAGCCAATACCACGACGGCCCTCAAGGAACTTCACTGGACCTTATGCAAACTGGAAACCACATATCCTGAGGCTGTATTTATTGTAGCTGGGGATTTTAACAAAGCAAATCTGAGGACTAGGCTGCCGAAGTTCTATCAACATATCGACCGTTGTACATGGGCTGCTAAAATTCTCGACCATTGCTATTTGAACTTCCGGGATGGTTATAAGGCCCTCCCACGCCCTCCTTTCGGCAAATCTGACCACGACTCCATTTTGCTCCTCCCTTCCTATAGGCAGAAACTCAAACAGGAAGTACCCAAGGACTATTCAACTCTGGTCTGACCAATCGGAATCCACACTTCAAGATTGTTTTGATCACGCGGACTGGGATATGTTCCAGGTAGCTAGCTAAAATAATTTTGACGAATACACTGAAACGGTGACTGAGTTTATCAGGAAGTGTATAGGAGATGTTGTGCCCAATGTGACTATTAAAACCTACCCTAACCAGAAACCGTGGATAGATGGCAGCATTCGCGCCAAACTGAAAGCGCGAACCACCGCATTTAACCATGGCAAGGTGACTGGGAATATGGCAGAATATAAACAGTGTAGCTACTCACTCCGCAAGGCAATTAAACAGGCAAAACATCAGTATAGAGACAAAGTGGAGTCGCAATTCAACGGCTCAGACACGAGACGTATGTGGCAGGGTCTACAGACAATCACAGACTACAAAAGGAAAACCAGCCACGTCGCCGACACCAACATCTTGCTTCCGGACAAGCTAAACACCTTCTTTGCCCGCTTTTAGGATAACACAGTGCCACCAACGCAGCCCACTACCAAAGACTGTGGGCTCTCCTTCTCCGTGGCCGACGTGAGTAAGACATTTAAGCATGTTAACCCCTGCAAGGCTGCCGGCCCAGACGGCATCCCTAGCCACGTCCTCAGAGCATGCACAGACCAGCTGGCTGGTTTGTTTACGGACATATTCAATCTCTCCCTTTCCCAGTCTGCTGTCCCCACATGCTTCAAGATGGCCACCATTGTTCCTGTACCCAAGAAAGCAAAGGTAACTGAACTAAATAACTATCGCCCCGTAGCACTCACCTCTGTCATCATGAAGTGCTTTGAGAGACTAGTCAAGGATCATATCACCTCTACCTTACCTGTCACCCTAGACCCACTTCAATTTACTTACCACACCAACAGATCCACAAACGATGCAATCGCCATTACACAGCACACTGCCCTATCCCATCTGGACAAGAGGAATACCTATGTAAGAATGCTGTTCATTGACTATAGCTTAGCATTCAACACCATAGTACCCTCCAAGCTCATCATTAAGCTCGAGGCCCTGGGTCTGAACCGCGCCCTGTGCAACTGGGTCCTGGACTTCCTGATGGGCCACCCCCAGGTGGTGAAGGTAGGAAACAACATCTCCACCGCTGATCCTCAACACTGGGACTCCTCAAGGGTGCGTGCTCAGCCCCCTCCTGTACTTCCTGTTCACCCATGACCGTGTGGCCAAGCATGCCTCCAACTCAATCATCAAGTTTGCAGATAACACAACAGTAGTAGGCTTGATTACCAACAATGACGAGACAGCCTACAGGGAGGAGGTGAGGGCTCTGGGAGTGTGGTGCCAGGAAAATAAACTCTAACTCAACGTCAACAAAACAAAGGAGATGATCGTGGACTTCAGGAAACAGCAGAGGGTGCACCCCCTATCCACATTGACGGGACCGCATTGGAGAAGGTGGAAAGCTTCAAGTTCCTTGGCGTACACATCACTGACAAACTGAAATGGTCCACCCATGCAAGACGGTGTGGTGAAGAAGGCGCAACAGAGTCTCTTCAACCTCAGGAGGCTGAAGAAATGTGGCTTGGCACCTAAAACCCTAACCAACTTTTACAGATGCACAATTGAGAGCATCCTGTCGGGCTGTATCACCGCCTGGTATGGCAACTGCACCGCCCACATCCGCAGGGCTCTCCAGAGGGTGGTGCGGTCTGCCGAACGCATTACCGGGGCAAACTACCCACCCTCCATGACACCTACAGCACCCGATGTCACAGGAAGGGCAAAAAGATCATGCCACTCTGTCATTGTTCGTCCATATATGTATATATTCTTAATTCCATTTCTTACTTAGATTTGTGTGTATTGGATATATGTTGTGAAATTGTTAGATATTACTTGTTAGATATTACTGCACTGTCGGAGGTAGAAGCACAAGCATTTCGCTACACCCGCAATAACATCTGCTAAACACGTGTATATGACAAATAACATTTGATTTGATTTGATTTGACTTCACACAGCTAGAAAACCACGATCCACAGCCAGACATTAGGAGGAAGCTATAATCATAGACGCTCTGGGAGGAAAGATCTCTGCAGTGCCAGAATACTGGGATTTTTGCAAGTCACCAGTGGATTAAAGGTACAATAATACATAGTGTTTGATGGTGCTTTCTTGGTGAGTTCAATCAAATAGGTTTTTCTCACAGAACACAGTAGGATGTCCCAAAGGCAGGGGCGAGCCCCTATGTGTCATAAAATAAATAAATAAATATTATTTTGAAAGAATAGCTGTCAAATCATTTGCATACAGGGAGGTACCAGGAAATCTGGTCATAATGCGGACACAGTGGACGGATATGAGACACATTTTAATACCATATGTAGACATATTTCTGAAAATGTGGGCACAATCAGAATGTGGACAAAGGACGCATATTAGCGTAAGGTATAAACGAGATTAGTGTTCAGCCGCTTCCTAGCCAGGCCCGGGACCTCGATGCTGGGCTCAGGGGGTCAACAAAGGGCTCATTGTTGCTGGGGAGAAGGTCCCTGTAACTTAAGGAATGTCCTCTAGTCCTATAGCTTGACTTAGAGGAGGAAGAGGAGAGGGGGTAAGTAACTTCTCCTCAGGGAACCCCTATAGCTCTCTCAGCACTGATCACCAGTGCCGTTGCTCCTAGTTACAGTATGTGATTTATCTATAGTCCTATTGGCTGGTATTGGAACTAGGGGCCAGAGCCCCCGGACACACAAAATAAACTGTTCTCTCCCTCTCTCCATCCCGTTCTCTTTTACCACCCTTTTTTTCCCTGGTAAACACACATTTGTCTTGTAATTTTTTTTTCTGTGGCACAATGCTCGACGGGAGAGCAAAACCAGCTAAATCAGCCCTTAAGAAGGGCAAGGCTAACACCTCCTTGCCTTTCTCCCCAACCCTCCTCGGATGTTGAAGAGACTGGAGCCCAGTGAAAAGCATTGATTAAAGTCCCGTATGCTCCCTTGGAAGCCACTGTACCGTTAACAATAAAATATGCTGGGTTCTACAGCTTTCCCTGAAAAGCCAACAGTCCACAATGGACTAATGAGAGAGACTGACGCCCTCCTCCTCCTTTCTCTCTACATTGCTCTCCCTCGCTTTCGCTCTCTATTTCTCCCTTAGTCTTCTTACGCAACAAGATTCACCTTATGTCCAGAGACAGAAGGATAGTCCTAGTGACATTGTCTTGTTCTTTTGAGTTAATTTTTCTAATGTCAAACTATGATGTAATGAAAGAGGTCATGTTATTTTACTTTAGTACTGTATGTAGGCTGGACAATAGAACGAGTCAAAATTCACCCAAGGCTGAAAAACGGCAATAGAACGTTGGCTAAGCTGGAACGCTAGCGCAAGCCCATAGCAAATGAATTGAGTCGAACGTTCGCAGAGTCTATTTTGACTCTTTCCATTCCATTTTGCTTAAATGGCACAACATTTTTTATCCCTTTTCATATTACCATTACAATCTGTTCTTAGGACAAAACTGAAGAAAACCAACTCGTGTAGAAAGTAAACATCTGCACCTTGGTGTCAACTGTGCTTATGTATGCATAATGAGGAAGTAGGGAAAAAATTAAAACTTCTGACTATTTCTGGTCTTGTAATCGATGACAACCGAGCTCGCTGCCCGGACTTACATAATTACAAAGAGGAGATTCTCCTGATTAAAATGGTGTCCGACTTGAAAAAATCAAAATATACACGTTGCAAGATATTTAGCGAAATAGACCGGCATGCTTCTCCATAGAAAAACAATGGATGGAGCTCAGGGTTCCAAGGGCAAAAAGTATTTTGGGGCTAGCATTTGATGACAACCGAGCTCGCTGCCCAGACTTACATAACTACAAAGAGGAGATTCTCCTGATTAAAATGGTGCCCGACTTGGAAAAAATCTAAATATACACATTGCGAGATATTTTGCGAAATAGACAGACATACCAATATTTCCCCTATAGAAAACAATGGGACGACCTCAGAGTTCCATGAGTCATTTTTGTTGTTGTTGTTGACGTTTTAACAACCAGTGTGGGCAGGTCTCATTGCCAACAATAGCGAAGCAGGCATTGTGACGTAGAACAATGGGCTGGGAATAGAACATTCTGAAGGCGAGTTGGTGCCACAGTGCTCAATAGAACTAACAGGAGCTGGCAGGGTGAAAAATGCCCTACAATAAGGCCTGTTTTTTCGTGATTACTTCAAAACTACGACAAGCAGCTGTGACATATGGTAATATTATGAAATTGGGCTCCACAGCGGATGCAATGAACTAGTTTTTTTCAGAAAAAAAGTGTTGTTAAAAATGTTATGTGTCCAGCCTACTGTATATGTGTACTCAACTCTATGACCCATTGACCATATCACCTGTATGGGAGAGAAAATATGTTTTGATGACTGTCTACACAGAAAAGTACAGTATGTACAAATGTCATAATACTCCTATACCTCAATTGTTTTATTTTTATTTGACCTTTATTTGACCAGGTTGTCACATTGAGATCAAAACACCTCTCTTTCAAAGGACACCTGGCAATGAGAAGTCATGACCACCAATTAATGTACAGTAAATATATTGGGATTGGAGAGTAAACTGAACATGAGGCCAATTATAGGCCAATGGTATGTGAGTTCTCATAGAAACAACTCTTGAGACCAAAACAATGCCCCTTGGAATGGTGTATTGAAACGTAAATAGCCTGTTTACAACTCCATGCATTCACCTGCTGCTGCTCCCAGGGTTACAAAGCACATAGTGTAGTCCTGGGGCTGCTAGGTAGCCGTGCACTTGAAAGTAATCAAGGGGCGGGGTTAGAAATGAGGAGAGAGAGGAGAGAAGGGGGAGCGTTCAATGCAAAGACAAGGTTAGGTAACAGTTTGAGTATGTTGTTTAGTACCAGTTCACTTTCAACATGGGCAACTTTTTGGGAATTCTTAACAATAGGTGGAAGATTTCACATGAAAATAAACACTACAAAATCCTATACAAATAGTTGAAGAGGGAACTATAGCTATAAGTAGTTCCTAAATAATACATTAACTTACAGTATTTTTACAGCAAGCATCTTTAACCATGATCATTGTGGAAAGAAAACATACATCATGTTTATTCAGATTCTCCACAGGATACAAGGAATAAAGAACAACTCTGATGTGATGTCTTATGAATGTACTCAGATCTTTTGAAATAGCTGAAAAGCAAAGTGAAAGCGACAGTAATGCCATCACATACTCCCATTCTTCTGACCTGGTGTGGTGGCGCTAATAACAGTAGAAGGCAAATACACACTGCAGTCTGCTGCCCCCCTATGTCAAAATGACTAACTGCAGGTGGTGAGAGGTTCATCACCATTCTTTCACACTCCCAAAACATCCTTTCATTTTTCATTTCTACCTCTATAAATCACTCTAGGGATGCATCCTATGTAATGTTTGACCAGAGCACTATGGACCCTATAGTTAATAGGGTGCCATTTCAGAGGCAGACTATGGGTTTGAATGGGCCATTAGTATAGCTTGGTATAAGAGGATGTAGAGTTTTAATCAGGGGAGGATCATAACAGATGTTCTTAAGCAAATTAATGAGGCCAACAATCGAGTCAATCTGCCAATACAAGCATGGTTAGTTTACATCCAGACTAGAGAAACCACTACAGCCTAGTCCCAGATCTGTTTGTGCTCTTGCCAACTCCCAAACATGGCACAACACTTCCATAAAGAGTTAGCAAGAGGGCAGAAACAGACTGGCACCCAGGCTAACCTGTCTACAGAGAATAATCCTATGACAACGGATGGTACATTAAATCAGTTATTTAATACTACAAGCAGTGTATTGCCTTTCAAATTCAAACACATTAGAATATCAAATATATTACAATTCATAAGTTCTATAAATAATATATTTGTCCTATTTAAGTAGATGCTAATCTATAAACCGTCTATATTAGATTATATTGCTTTCATGAAGGAGTAGGATCAGAGAAGGGGACTATTCATATAAAAGTACATGGTACTGTGTCATCCCGAACAATACAACAATACATTATACATAGGACACTGAGTTTTACCTGGGAAAACCTCTGGTCCTAGTCATACAAAACAAGTTGGCACTCAGCTATGGAATTATGGGAAGTGTAGTTCTTGTAATCCCTTGTGAGCACCAGAGTGGCTGTGCTGGGGTGTGTGAACGGACTACGGCCTCAGGGGGAAGGGTTCGTCTGGGGTGTAGTTGAGTCTGGCGTCCATGAACATGGCCAGAGTCCCCAGAGTAGTGATGATGACAAACAGCCACAGGAACAGCCTGTCTACCACGATGGCTATGTACTGCCAGTCTCCTGTCTCCTATAGGGGGGAATACACACAGACACACACACAAACAGAGGGACGTGCGCACACACAAAGAGATAGAGAGACACGAAAGTATGTAAGTGATGAAGAATGAAGCGCAGTATGTCCGCAGTGACACATGGACATCACCAGGGCATGCTGGGAACACTGTGTGTGTGTGTGTCTGTGTGTCTGTGTGTCTGTCTGTCTGTGTGTGTGTGTGTGTGTCTGTGTGTGTGTGTGTGTATCTCACCGAGTCGGTGCTGTCCTGCTTCTTCAGCTGCTCAGCCATGTATGTGACAGCAGCGATGGCTGACTTGAGGTCCGGGGGGAGGATCAGACAGTAGTTGTCACTGTCAAAGAACCTCTGGAGCTGCACTGTACTCTCACTCCTGAGAGGGGGAGAGTGGGAGAGAGAGAGAGAGAGGGAGAGGGAGGGAGGGGTGTGTGGAAAGGAGGAGAGATAGAGAGAGAGAGGGGAGAGAGAGGAAGAGAGAGAGAGAGCACAACAGTGTATGAACTTGAGAAGAAAAGCAAACACACACAAATAAAAAATAAATAAATACAAAATAAATAAAATAAACAAACAAATAAGCAAACGCTAACAACAAATGTAGTTAATCATGGGTAAGTCAGAAGTCTCATATTTCTGTCTGTCTTTTATCATTGAGGTTTCCAGAGGACGTTACCTATGTGTCAAATCAACTTCATTAGTCTTCTCTACACATACCAGTGTGTCTGTTGTGGCATGTGTCCTTGTGTCCCCCCCCCCCCCCCCAGTTCTCTGAGTGACAGTGACACTCCTGACACAGAGGTAATGTTGGGACAACAATGGGGCAACGTATTGTGGTGCTGGTTTGACCTCTGACCCCTAAAGGTATTCCTGCCTTACACAGCTGTTCCATAGCAGCATTGTTGTCAGAGAATCCATCCTGAACACTACTTTACGCTAGGATATATCTTTACGTGAGGGCTTGACAGAGGCACTGACTACCACTGGCTACGACTGACTACCACTGGCTAACACTGGCTAACACTGACTACGACTGACTACCACTGGCTACGACTGACTGTAACGTGGGAAACTACGGTATTTCAAAGATGGCTATTATTTACTGCTATAGCATTTAAGTAATAATTATTTGATATAAACGCTACACTACACTACATTGTCCAACCATGCAAAGTGTACAAACCACACCAGAACATAAACCAATTCACATAGAGAACAGACTATGAACACATTTGAAATAGAACATGTGAAACTATATCTCGTTGGTTGACAAAGGATGTGAGCAATATTTTGATTGATATTGAAAGATAAAGCACCTCTGTCAAGGACACACGTTTCCTGTAAGGATTATCACAGTGACCTGACCCTTCACACATCCGACACAAGGCCCAACACTGTGGCCCAGGCATCAACACAGCAGAAGTAATGTAATATACACCCTAATATATGTCCTTTTGTCACGATCGTCGTAAGAAGCGGACCAAGGCGCAGCTCGTGATAGGCTAACAATTTAATGAGTATACCACCACAACCAAACAATACGTGAAGTCTAAAGGTTACAACACCAACCCTATACAGAACAAGATCCCACAATAATGTGCAAAACAGGATGCTAAGTTATGGATCCCAATCAGAGAACAACGAGCAACGCTGCCTCTGATCGGAAACCACCTGGCCAACTAGATCTAACGATCTAGAATAAACACATAGAACAACTAAACATAGGAACTAACACCCTGGCTCAACATTAAAGAGTCCCCAGAGCCAGGGCGTGACACCTTTAAATAGCTTACATCATGCACATCCATACATAGCACCCTACAGACCTGCCACCCTATAGTAGAAACACCACTATGTTGGGTCAACCTGCTCCACAAACAGGGTGTTAACGGGTGACTGCCACGCACCCCTGTCCTCCGCCTCCTCTCACTTCAAGTCTTCTGTCCCCTCTCACGGTCCCCTCTCTTAGGTCTCCCCCTCTCACTCCTGTCACTCCAAGATGCCTGTAACACTTACATAACAGGCTAGTCTATTAATATATCACTAATTCAGTATCACTGTCTTTAAGCCCCAGACCAGTGATGGTCTCTGAATATATAGGTACTACACCATTCATGTACAGTTGGTCTAAGATAATTATCTGTATAACTGGTTTTCAAGAAATCCTGGTTTTATTCGGGGAATCTTCCAACCAGGATTTCAGGAAAACCAGGGAATTTATTTTGCAACCTTAGGCACATGTCATGTCAGTGGTGGCTGGTGGAACTTTGCCGGGGACGGGCTCATTCATTCTAGTCCACCAATTACTATGAGCCGTCCACTCCTCACCAGCCTCCACTGTGTCTAGTTCACATGACGTTCTTTCTTTGGCACTGTTATATAGTCACACAGCCGACGAGAGATGTGTCTGTTCATTAGCCAGGCCCAGGGCCATTCAGTATCAGTTATCACCTCTTCAGGGAGGCCAGACTGGCACCAGGACATTATAACCTTCTGGCACCACAGAGGCTACGTGACATAGTGTGTGTGTGTGTGTGTGTGTGTGTGTGTGTGTGTGTGGGAGTGTGTGTAAGATGGTGTGAGTGTGTGCGCAATGTATGTGTTCATGAGTATGTGTGCCTGCATTAATCTACTCTCTAAGTGTGTGTATGTGTGTGTGTGTGTGTGTGTGTGTGTGTGGTGTGTGTTTGTGAACTATACTGTATGTGAGTGTGTGTGTGACACAGCGAGGTCGGCTCCATCTGTCTGTGGTAATGAATAGAAGCCCTGGAATGCTGCTGGCACGCAACAGGCAGGACAGAGCATAGCTAGGCCCTGAGCTGTGAAGACACAAACACACACACACACACACACACACACACGTAAACTCAGTGTGAAGGGCAACACCTGGTCTCTAACTAGCTCTGTGACAGCAGAGAGAGAGCGTTGAATCACTACACACTCCGAGGGAACAGTTGAGTTGACACTGGCGCCATCGTCCCCATTCGCCTTGAAGCAGAGCCATCTTATAGATAGAGTAACCACCCCATCCCTCCATCCCTCGCTCTATATCAAAACCCACAAAATCCTCCTCTACATTGATCACTCAACACCTCTCCCTATACTCCACACTCATCCACCAGCCACCCTCTCTCCCCTCCCTCCAACCCTCTGCCCCATCCCCCTCTTTCGGGATTACCCCTAATGCCCAAACTAAACAGAGGCTTATGCCCTGGCGACTGTGGATGGGGGTCTGAGGCTTAGCCGGCCTTAGCAGGCCTGAATATGATGACTTTGGCCTGGGATGAGTAGTGCCCACCAGGCCTGGAGATCCATGGGTCTCTGGGTGTTTACGAGCCCCACTCTGGGTGGGGAGACTAGGGTGGCACTCACAGATTACTGAGGGGCCAAATGAAACTGTCAGATACAGTGCCTTGAAAAAGTATTCACCCCCCTTGGTGTTTTTCCTATATTGTTGCATTACAACCTGTAATTTCAATGGATTTTTATTTGAATTTAATGTAATGTCCAAATTGGTGAAGTGAAATGAAAAATCTAAAAAATAAATAAATGGAAAAGTGTGCAATCTAAGTGTCACATGATCTGTCACATGATACACCTGTTCTGAAAGGCCCCAGAGTCTGTAACACCACTAAGCAAGGGGCACCACCAAGCAAGCGACACCATGAAGACCAAGGAGCTCTCCAAACAGGTCAGGGACAAAGTTGTGGAAAGTACAGATCACGGACCAGGCAAGAGGGCATTAATCAGAGAAGCAACAAAGAGACCAAAGATAACCCTGAAGGAGCTGCAAAGCTCCACAGTGGAGATTGGAGTATCTGTCCATAGGACCACTTTATGCCGTACACTCCACAGAGCTGGGCTTTACGGAAGAGTGGCCAGAAAAAAGGAGAGTATACAGAAGGGGAGGGTATACAGAAGATAGCCCAATTTTGTAAAAGACCAAGTCCATATTATGGCAAGAACAGCTCAAATAAGCAAAGAGAAACGACAGTCCAACATTACTTTAAGACATGAGGGTCAGTCAATACAGAACATTTCAAGAACTTTGAAAGTTTCTTCAAGTGCAGTCGCAAAAACCATCAAGCGCAATGATGAAACTGTCTCTCATGAGGACCGCCACAGGAATGGAAGACCCAGAGTTACCTCTGCTGCAGAAGATAAGTTAACTAGAGTTACCAGCCTCAGAAATTGCAGCACAAATAAATGCTTCACAGAGTTCAAGTCACAGACACATCTCAACATCAACGGTTCAGAGGAGACTGTGTGAATCAGGCCTTCATGGTCGAATTGCTGCAAATAAACCACTACTAAAGGACACCAATAAGAAGAAGAGACTTACTTGGGCCAAGAAACATTAGCAATGGACATTAGACTGGTGGAAATATGTCCTTTGGTCTGGAGTCCAAATTGGAGATTTTTGGTTCCAGCCGCCGTGTCTTTGTGAGACGCAGTGTGGGTGAACGGATGATCTACGCATGTGTATTTCCCACCGTAACACATGGATGAGGAGGTGTTATGGTGTGGGGGTGCTTTGCTGGTGACACTGTCTGTGATTTATTTAGAATTCACTTAACTAGCACACTTAACTAGCATGGCTACCACACCATTCTGCAGCGATACGCCATCACATCTGGTTTGGGCTTAGTGGGACTATCATTTGTTTTTCAACAGGACAATGACCCAACGCACCTCCAGGCTGTGTTAGGGCTATTTTACCAAGAAGGAGAGTGATGGAGTGCTGCATCAGATGACCTGGCCTCCACAATCCCCCAACCTCAACCCAATTGAGATGGTTTGGGATGAGTTGAACGGCAGAGTGAAGGAAAAGCAGCCAACAAGTGCTCAGCATATGTGGGAACTCCTTCAAGACTGTTGGAAAAGCATTCCAGGTGAAGCTGGTTGAGAGAATGCCAAGAGTTTGCAAAGCTGTCATCAAGGCAAAGGGTGGCTATTTGAAGATAAAATATATTTTGATTTGTTTAACACTTTTTTGGTTAGAACATGATTCCATATGTGTTATTTCATAGTTTAGATGTCTTCACTATTATTGTACAATGTAGAAAATAAAGAAAAACCCTGGAATGAGTAGGTCTGTCCAAATTTTTCACTGGTACTGTATATCATCACTGAGTGGGATGGACAGTATAGTGGGAACTATTTTGTGAAGGCTATCTATGGAGAGTATAGTAGAGCCCATTGAGAGTATAGTAGAGTATAGTATAGTATAGTATAGTAGAGGCCATAGATAGTATAGTATAGTAGAGCCCATAGAGAGTATAGTAGAGTATAGTATAGTAGAGCCCATGGAGAATATAGTTCATGGAGAGTATAGTAGAGGCAACGGAGAGTATAGTATAGTATAGTATAGACCATGGAGAGCATAGTAGAGTAGAGGCCATGGCGAGTATAGTAGAGTATAGTATAGTAGAGGACACAGAGAGTATAGTAGAGCCCATGGAGAGTATAGCAGAGTCTAGTGGAGGCCATTGAGAGTATAGTAGACACAATGGATAGTATAGTAGAGTATGGTAGAGGCCATGGAGAGTAAAGTAGAGGCCATGGAGAGTCGATTATAGTATAGTAGAGGCCATGGATAGTATAGTATAGGCCATGGAGAGTATAGTAGAGTATAGTATAGTAGAGCCCATGGATAGTATAGTAGAGGCCATTGAGAGTATAGTATAGTATAGTATTGTAGAGGTCATGGCGAGTATAGTAGAGGCCATGGAGAGTATAGTAGATGCAATGGAGAGTATAGTAGAGACCATGGAGAGTACAGTATAGGCCATGGAGAGTATAGTAGAGTGTAGTATAGTAGAGCCCATGGGGAGTATAGTAGAGGTCATTTAGAGTATAGTAGAGTAGAGTAGAGTGTAGTAGAGTAGATGCTATGTGGAGTAAAGCAAAGCACAGTTGAGGCTATGGAGAGTATAGTAGAGTATAGTAGAGGCTATGAATATATAGGAGGAACATGACCTACTGTGCTAGACTATTGGGATGGTGTAGAGTATAGTAGAGTATATTAGAGGGTATAGAGATGGGAGGAATAGGAACAAGGTTCCCAGACTATAGCAGATTGGCCTAGAGAAGATGATACTACTGCCAAGCCTGGGCATACAATGTACCTAATTATAATAGCAAGGCTGGCACAGGAGAAAAAGGCATTTATACTTTGCCTCAGGATAGTGCTGAAAAGAAGATTCATGCTTTGGCTAGCTTGTATTCAGTCGAAGAGGAATCTCTTCACCACAAAATCTTTGTAGCCAAGACGACTGTCTCAAACCAAAAGGAATTAGCTGTGATCTACTGATGGGTCTCTGGTCTCTGGTCTCTGGTCTATGTGTGTGTGTGTGTGTGTGTGTGTGTGTGTGTGTGTGTGTGTGTGTGTGTGTGTTAGTTGATACCTTACCTGCCTCTCCAGGGTAGGACCAGTTCAGGGTTGATCTTCCTGAAGAAGTACTCTCCCCCCGGCCTGCGTCCGTCGATGCTCTGGAGGGGCGTGTCATCACTAGGCTCCTCCTCCAAAGGCTCCTCTGAGTGGGGCCTCTGCATGCCCAGGTACTTCGGCAGGAAGTGGATGAACACCTGGATAAGGGGTCAAAGGTCAAGGTCTTAGCAGGAAGTAGCAAATATATGGCCCCTTGGCATTGAACCAGCGCAGAAGCAGGAAATTGCATAGAGATGTTTTGCAAAGATAATGAAGAAGAAGAATGCTGTGGATCCTAGAGTCTATATCTCAAACAGACCCCACAGTCCATAGCACCGCTACAGCTCACCTTGCGCACCCAAGGGGGCATAATGTGTGTGTAGGGGGTCCGATGGTGCAAGTTGAGGACCACCACACTGAGGATGACAGAGAAGGTGACCAGGATCATGGTGAACATCACATAGTTAACAATAAGAGGGATGGCCAGGGAGGTCTCGGGGACCTTGTCAGCCAGCAGCAGCATGAACACAGTGAGAGCGATGAGGACAGAGATGGACAGGGTCATCTTCTCACCTGGGAGAGAGAGGGAAACACAGGGTTAAAACATGGCGGCTATGGATCTACTGTAATTGTCTGGCAAGTGATAAAGACTGGGCTTAAACATTATGAACCACCTAATGACAAATATTGCTTCTTTTACAAATGCGGGCCACATTAAAAACCGCAGGCCGCCAGTTTGAGACCCCTGCTCTAAAAAAATTGAAATAAACCCCAAAACATCATAAACAGACTACATTTAACATCTTCCCCAGAGCACAACATATATTCTTAATGATACATCCTTGCTGTGTAATCAACAATGGCAAGTTACCCAGCTCAATTCATCATAGAGATGGAAAGAGTCCTATCTTTGTGCTAAAGCAGGCTTTGTGGCAAGTGTGCCCTCTCTCCATCTCTATGCAAGTTACACATGCCAATGAGACATAATGTGCATATGTGGCATAGTATGGCATGGGACTGACATGCGCCAGGTGGTAGATAGAAGACAAAGATGGCCAGGACCATGGTGAGGATGCAGGGCACGATGATGTTAACGACGTAGAAGAGAGGCTTCCTCTCGATGATGAGATAGAAGGTGATGTCTTCATACAGGTCCTCTGGGTTCACGTTCTTCCTGCTGGGCTTATGGCAGATCGCCCACTCCCCGTTCTCTATGGAGAGGGAAAGGGGGAAGAGGGGATGAGGGGATGAGGGGGAGAGGGGAGATGGGAAAAGAAGAGGAGGTAAGAAAAGAGAGGCCAGAAGAGAGAAGAGACAAGAAGAGAGAGGATTCTAACCAGTGAAGGCGTTCTCATCTATGATAATCTCATGTATCTCCTCTCCTTTCTCATCCAGGGCGTATTGCAAGTCCACCTCTGATGAGTCGTAGGTGTAGGAGCGGAACACCATGGTGCAGTTCTGCCAGTCAAATGGGAAGTACGTTACCTATAGGCAAAGAAGGTTATTAGAGTGGGAGTGCTGATCTAGGGACCTGATCCTAGATCAGCAGTTCTACTTTGAGAAGCTTTATGAATACGAGCCCTGGTTGATTAAATCTATTGGTTAATAATAATATAATAATTTATTGATAATGTACCTCTATAGGGCAGCTGCTGCGGTAGATAGCAGGAGGCAGCCAGTTGACTGTCCCATCACTGTAGACCAGCACGTTGACGTACAGAGCCACGTCAAACTGACCATCATTACTGTGTGGAGAAGGAGGTTCACATAAAGGACAATCAGGAGTCATGTGATGCACATTTTATTGATCTAACCTTAATTTAGACAGGGGATTCCCATTGAGACCAAGGTCTCCTTTTCAAGGGAGCCCTGCATGAACTACATACCCAGTATGACTGAATCTATAACGCACTAGTAATCAGCCTATATCAGTATTTGAACAATACCTAGACATTATCGTACACTCTTAGAGGAAAAGGTGCTATCTAGAACCTAAAAGAGTTTGGCGGCCGCCATAGTTAGAACACTTTTTGGTTCTAGGTAGAACCCTTTTGGTTCCAGGTAGAACTCTTTTGGAGTGTATTGGCCAGAAGATTTGACTGACTATGTGACCTGACCAGACATTTTTTTATGGAGTGGCTGTGGATCCGACTTCTCTGGTCCAAAACAGACTACTGCCGAATGGTGCTTGTTAAATAAAGTTAGATCAAAGTTGAATCAATGTCTGCAAGATCACATAATGATAGTATTTTACATTACAGAACCGAATATAGTAGAATTGTATAATCGTATAAAATGTTAGGGTGATTGTGCGAATGGCAACACGTTCTATCATGTGGCCAAATCTCAACAGCGCACGCCACTAGGCAAAATATGTGCTTTGATTGAAATGAAACACAGGTAGTGGAGACCGAGGGGCAATTGTCATTTTATTTTACTCTATTGCTCAGAGACCACTTGAACTAGGCCAGTCATTTTTTGATACTGTATAAGAAACTTACATCTGTCTCCTAATCATTCATACCATTTACAGGTCTGTACATAAGACGGTCGGTTCACAATACTGATTTTAATCAGAAAATGTCAGGACGTTACATTTGCCCCCGTGCCAGGGACAATTGTAACAGTTGCTGGGGTCAAATGTAACGCCTAAAAAAAATACACCAAATAAATGTTAAAAAAATCATATTTGTGAATGATCTTATTATCATAGATATATGTAATGATTTTGCAAGAAACAGAAGTATTGTTATGTACGTAACCAATGTTTACAGTGACACCCCTGTTTGTGCATGGCCATTCGGTTCCTCTCAAAACATCTTGATGGTGCCCAGAGGATATCTGTTTACAATTTATTTGGCACTCTACAGGCCCCAAATGCTATTTAAAGTTAGTATTTGTATAATTCATGGATAATTCATACCATCACTTGTTTTCATCATTTGGCTGCTTGGCTCAGGGTCATTGTAACACTGCGTTACAATTGCCCCCAACACTAGAAGCCATGACAAAACCTCATATGCCAAGCAAGAGACAACAATAGTGACAAATGTCAATCATGTCAACGTTTAGTCAACATATAGCGATACAAATTATGCTAGTTTGATTTCTTTGACAATTTTGCTCAGGACAGTATAAGAAAAATACGGCCAGTGGAAAAAAATACTTTCACCCCTAAAAAAATATACATTTGCCCTTAAAACATGCAAAGAAGGGCGAGAACCTAGTGAGTTTCATCACTCTATTGTACCTTATTTCTGTTTGGAGAAATTCAAGGTGTTACAAACGCCCACTGTTACAGTTGCCCCCGGTCTCCCCTATGCTACAGTTTGTTAACACCATCTGCTCTAAGATTCGCTCAATGTAGGCTACATACAGTGCCTTCAGAAAGTATTCACACCCTATGACTTTTTCCACATTTGGTTGTGTTACAGCTTGAATTTAAAATTGATTAAATTGAGAATTTGTGTCACTGGACTACACACAATATCCCATAATGTCAAAGAATTATGTTTTTCGAAATGTTAATACAGTGCATTCGGAAAGTATTCAGACCCCTTCACTTTTTCCACATTTTGTTACGTTACAGCCCTACTCTGAAATTGATTAAATAAATAAAAATCCTCATCAATCTACACACAATACCCCATAATGACAAAGCGAAAACCGTTTTTTAGACATGTTTGCAATTTTATAAAAAATAAAATACAGAAATACCTTATTTACATAAGTATTCATACCCTTTGCTATGAGACTCGAAATTGAGCTCAGGTGCATCCTGTTTCCATTGATCGTCCTTGAGAGGTTTCTACAACTTGATTGGAGTCCACCTGTGGTAAATTCAATTGATTGAACATGATTTGGAAAGGCACACACCTACAGTGAGGGAAAAAAGTATTTGATCCCCTGCTGATTTTGTACGTTTGCCCACTGACAAAGACATGATCAGTCTATAATTTTAATGGTAGATTTATTTGAACAGTGAGAGACAGAATAACAACAACAAAATCCAGAAAAACGCATGTAAAAAATGTTATAAATTGATTTGCATTTTAATGTGGGAAATAAGTATTTGACCCCTCTGCAAAACATTACTTAGTACTTGGTGGCAAAACCTTTGTTGGCAATCACAGAGGTCAGACGTTTCTTGTAGTTGGCTACCAGGTTTGCACACATCTCAGGAGGGATTTTGTTCCACTCCTCTTTGCAGATCTTCTCCAAGTCATTAAGGTTTCAAGGCTGACGTTTGGCAACTCGAACCTTCAGCTCCCTCCACAGATGTTTTATGGGATTAAGGTCTGGAGACTGGCTAGGCCACTCCAGGACCTTAATGTGCTTCTTCTTGAGCCACTCCTTTGTTGCCTTGGCCGTGTGTTTTGGGTCATTGTCATGCTGGAATACCCATCCAAAACCCATTTTCAATGCCCTGGCTGAGGGAAGGAGGTTCTCACCCAAGATTTGACGGTACATGGCCCCGTCCATCGTCCCTTTGATGTGGTGAAGTTGTCCTGTCCCCTTAGCAGAAAAACACCCCCAAAGCATAATGTTTCCACCTCCATGTTTGACGGTGGGGATGGTGTTCTTGGGGTCATAGGCAGCATTCCTCCTCCTCCAAACACTGCGAGTTGAGTTGATGCCAAAGGGCTCGATTTTGGTCTCATCTGACCACAACACTTTCACCCAGTTCTCCTCTGAATCATTCAGATGTTCATTGGCACACTTCTGACAGTCCTGTATATGTGCTTTCTTGAGCAGGGGGACCTTGCTGCAGGATTTCAGTCCTTCACAGCGTAGAGTGTTACCAATTGTTTTCTTGGTGACTTTGGTCCAAGCTGCCTTGAGATCATTGACAAGTTCCTCCCGTGTAGTTCTGGGCTGATTCCTCACTGTTCTCATGATCATTACAACTCCACGAGGTGAGATCTTTCATGGAGCCCCAGGCCGAGGGAGATTGACAGTTATTTTGTGTTTCTTCCATTTGCGAATAATCGCACCAACTGTTGTCACCTTCTCACCAAGCTGCTTGGCGATGGTCTTGTAGCCCATTCCAGCCTTGTGTAGGTCTACAATCTTGTCCCTGACATTCTTGGAGAGCTCTTTGGTCTTGGCAATGGTGGAGAGTTTGGAATCTGATTGATTGATTGCTTCTGTGGACAGGTATCTTTTATACAGGTGACAAGCTGAGATTAGGAGCACTTTTAGAATAAGGCTGTAACGTTACAAAATGTGGAAAAAGTGATGGGGTCTGAATAGTTTCCGAATGCACTGTAAATTAATTTAAAAAATGAAAAGCTGAAATGTCTTGAGTCATTAAGTATTCAACCCCTTTGTTATGGCAAGCCTAAATACTGTAATTTCAGGAATAAAAATGTGCTTAACAAGTCACACAATAAGTTGCATGGACTCACTCTGTGAAGCAACACAACACATCACTGAGTACCAATCTTCAATCTTCAAGCATGGTGGTGGCTGCATCATGTTATAGGTATGCTTGTCATCGGCAAGGACAAAGGAGTTTTTTAGGATAAAAAGAAACAGAATTGAGCTAAGCACAGGCAAAATCCTAGAGGGAAACCTGGTTCAGTCTGATTTCCAACAGACACTGAATGTTCCTGAGTTACCTAGTTACAGTTTTGACTTAAATCGGCTTGAAAATGTAAGGCAAGACTTGAAAATACAACTTGACAGAGCTTGAATAAATATTATACAATCTAGGTGTGCAAAGATCTTAGAGACTTACCCAGAAAGACTCACAGCTGTAATTGCTGCCAAAGGTGATTCTAACATGTATTGACTCAGGAGGTTGAATACTTGTGCAATCAAGATACAGTGGCTTGTGAAAGTATTCACCCCCCTTGGAATTTTTCCTATTTTATTGCATTATAATCTGGAATTAAAATGGATTTTTGGGGGGGATTGTATCATTTGATTTACACAAGCTGCAAGTCTCTTGGGGTATGTCTCTATAAGCTTGGCACATCTAGCCACTGGGATTTTTGCCCAGTTTCTTCAAGGCAAAACTGCTCCAGCTCCTTCAAGTTGGATGGGTTCCGCTGGTGTACAGCAATCTTTAAGTAATAACACAGATTCTCAATTGGATTGAGGTCTTGGGCTTTGACTAGGCTATTCCAAGACATTTAAATGTTTCCCCTTAAACCACTCGAGTGTTGCTTTAGCAGTATGCTTAGGGTCATTGTCCTGCTGGAAGGTGAACCTCCGTCCCAGTCTCAAATCTCTGGAAGACTGAAACAGTTTTCCCTCAAGAATTTCCCTGTATTTAGCGCCATCCATCATTCCTTCAATTCTGACCAATTTCCCAGTCCCTGCCGATGAAAAATATTGTGTTCTCGGGGTGATGAGAGGTGTTGGGTTTGCACCAGACATAGCGTTTTCCTTGATGGCCAAAAAGCTCAATTTTAGTTTCATCTGACCAGAGTACCTTCTTCCATATATTTGGGGAGTCTCCCACATGCCTTTTGGCGAACACCAAACGTGTTTGCTGATTTTTTTCTTTAAGCAATTGCTTTTTTCTGGCCACTCTTCCGTAAAGCCCAGCTCTGTGGAGTGTACGGCTTAAAGTGGTCCTATGGACAGATACTCCAATCTCTGCTGTGGAGCTTTGCAGCTCCTTCAGGGTTATCTTTGGTGTCTTTGTTGCCTCTCTGATTAATGCCCTCTTTGCCTGGTCCGTGAGTTTTGGTGGGTGGCCCTTTCATGGCAGGTTTGTTGTGGTGCCATATTCTTTCCATTTCTTAGTAATGGATTTAATGGTGCTCCGTGGGATATTTT